TCTGACTAAATGACACGTTTCTTTTTACGGATAACAAGTTCTTTGTATTTTTTTGTTATTGCTAAAAATTCTTGTCTTCATGTTCCTCTACCTTGAAGTTGCCATCAAAGATTTCATTTTTCCTATTTCTGAAAAATACTGGATGTCCTGCTACACATGCAAGTGAGACTTAAACGAAGTGATGCTCTATGACAGCAGCCTGTAAACATTCATGTCTAGGCCAGGCAATCCAGTGATTAAATGCCTAATGCCTTCAGTACTTAGTCAAACATACCATATTATGTTCGTGATTACTCTTTCTTAAGAAAGTATAAATTCTAATACATTTGGGGCATTGAGACGCATCCGGGATTCGAACCCTGTCTGTCAGAGTGAGGTACAAAACTGCCAGCACATAAAATCAGTGATCTAACCCACTCAGCCACCACAACGAAAATTGAAAGCCTGACAGAAAGAGTAATCCTTATGATAGTTACTTTTAGACTGCTATAATACAGATAAATATTTGTATACATCTGAGGCACATTTCTTGAATCCATGGCGGACATCATTCCAGTCAGTCAGTCATGTGATGTTGGTATGTTCCTCTCCTGGGGACGTCTGTCGGCTATCTTTATCTTCGTCCTGCATGAAACTTTCCTGTTTGTATGAAGTGTATAGTGTGACTCAAGTGCTTCCTAATGTTCCAGGCATTTCCATTTATATGTTAGCCATATAGGCACTTTACTATGAGGGTAGGTACTGTTAGTCAGCATGTAGACAGCAGGGGTGGAAATAACCCATTGCCCGACGTCTGAGTCCAGTGTTTTTTTCTGTCGGGCAAGCAAATTTGTATATCACGCTGTACCGGTGTCCAGTTGACTTTCCAATGTTAATAATGTTGTTTATTTTAAAAAATCAACAAGAAAACAGCCGGTATAGTGGAAAACTTATCAGGGCAAGTGATTTTACATGTGCCACTGTACCGGAGTACACTAGCAGTTTTAAAGTTATTTCCACCCCTGAGACACCTAAAAAACAACAGTTAAGTTTAGCATCATATTTATTAGGTTTAGTACACACTGAAGAAATCTGCATGAAATTTGCTTCTGGTCTCTTAAAAGGATGTGTTATTATTGCAAATAGTCTACGAGCAGGTAAGCAGAGACTGATATTTGCATCTATGCAAGATTATTGTTAACAATATTGCAAGATTATTGTTAACAATATTGCAAGATTATTGTTAACAATATTGCAAGATTATTGTTAACAATATTGCAAGATTATTGTTAACAATGTTGCAAGATTATTGTTAACAATATTGCAAGATTATTGTTAACAATATTGCAAGATTATTGTTAACAATATTGCAAGATTATGGTTAAAAATATTGCAAGATTATTGTTAACAATATTGGAAAATTACTGTAATTATGTTGCAAGATTGCTGTTAAGTTGTAAGAGTATTATTGACTGTGGGGGTTATTGTTAACTATGTTGCAAGATAATTGTTGCATGTTCACTGTCAACTATGTTGTGAGATTACTGTTGCACAGTTTGAACAGTGAGCATCTCTATGATCTCTTTCCCTATATGGAATTTGAAATAAACCAACCCATTATTTTTACAAATTTCAATGACTGGGGTAGTTTCTTAATTTGAGGTAAAGACATTAAAGAGTATCTGATGTATGCTATATTGTATTTCATCATTACGGATTGTATAATGAACAACTGACTTCCGATATTTCTGATTTGAGTAAAAACATAACAAAACAGGGTCTTGTCAAGTGACCTAGATTTGTAAAAAATGGGACCATTTTTGGCCACCACATCAGGGCACATCATATTCTACATACAATAAGCTTGTAGTAGTAGGTGACTAGCGGGATCGAGTTGTCAGGCTCACTGACTTGGTTGACACATGTCATCATATACCAATTGCGTAGATAGATGCTCATGATGTTGATCCCCGAATTGTCCGGTCCAGACTAGATTATTTACAGACTGCTGCCATATAGCTTGAATATATTAAGGATGTGGTTTTGTTGCTTTTATTTCACGGCCTGGTAGCTTCCCAAATTTAGACTCCTATAGAATGACTGACTGAGTTTGGTTTTACGCCGCTTTTAGCAATATTCTAGCAACATCACCGCAGGGGACCAGAAATGGGCTTCACACATATACCGATGTGGGGATTATAAATCCGGGTCTTCGGCGTGATGAGCCAACACTCTAACCACTAGGCTACCCCGCCGCCCCCGACTCCTATAGATATGATAGGGGTATTGGCTACTGGGGTGAGTGACTGAGTAGGGTTTTAGGATCAGCAAAATTGTGTCAAGGATGCCTGAAATACGCTACATACTTTGCACCTATGTTGGGAGTTGAACCCTGGTCTCTGGTGTGAGGGGAGGTGGTGGGATAGCCTTGTGGTTAAAGCTTTCGCTTTACATGAGACATGAGTTTGTTTCCCCACATGGGTACAATGTGTGAAACTCATTTCTGGTGTGCCCCGCCGTGATATTGCTGGAATATTGCTAAAAGCGGTTTAAAACTAAACTCACTCACTCACTTTGGTGTGATGAACACACCATTAGGCTGTCGTACTGCCACCAATTACCAAATTTGACACTATATATAGTAAGGTACAAGATGAAGGTAGGAGGGTGCTGATTTCAACTATTGCCGATTTTCACTGTCACCAGATGACAGCAGCAAATTCTCCCTCAAATTCTGATTGGCTAATATTTATGATGAGGTGTCATGTGATCTCAAAGGATGATTCAGTCAGAAAAAGTCTAATTGGAAATATCCTTTTTTAGACAGATAGTTAGACTTGCCTGTACATCTCATCTAGAGTTTTTTAAAAATATCAAATTATAGATATTCCTGAGTATGGAGAACAGCTAGCAAATGTGATATGGCTTGAATATTGTTGGTGTGAAATATTCACACTCTAAATAGATACTTTGTCCTGGAATACATAGCCATACAGAAAATAAATAAAAAACATATTGACTCATTTATATTTGTACAGCAACATTTATTGTACTTGGTCACAGTTTCTAATTCAAGCAGCCAAACACAATAATACAATTTCATAAGGCCTTTTTTGTTTAATTACATGGTTTACCAATTTTTAATTTTTTAAATTAGGTTGGTAGGGTAAGAAAAAAGGGGAATATGGAGATGTATTTTCACACTTGAGTATATCATATAAGCCAGGTGCTGCATGCCAGCTGAGCAGCCTGTGGCATTACCTTTCTCTCTGTTCCACTGTATCAGGAAATATTTGAAAGGTATAATTTGCTAAAAAAATTATTTCTTTCTTTGTTATCAGATCGGCTGCATATAATGGCAAAAAAAAATATGTAAAAGGTTTTTTTCCCCCGCTTCCTTCACATTTCGGGTCAGTGGATCCGTAAACCAAGTAATAAAAAAAGACCTAATGCATCATTCAATTTGTGTGTCATGGCTATTTTTCTATGTGATTATATTAAGTAAATTAATACATAGCTATACAGAAAATAAAATTAAATATTGACTCATTTATACTTATACAGCTACATTTTCCTGTACTCGTCACAGATTCTAATTCAAGCAGCCAAATACAAAAATACAATTTCATAATGCGTCATTCAGCTTCTGTGTCATGGCTATTTTGCCATGTGGTCATATTGGGTTAAAGTGTTTTTCTGTGAGATGGATGGGTTATCTTGGTACTTTTATCCCTGATACAATGACGTAAACAACAACTTGCGGATGAAAGGACACGTTCTCAGTATATTACACCAGCCACGAGAATTGTATTACGATTTATTATTGTAATTTGTCCCGCCTATGGGTGGTACGCCCTGACAACGACAACCGTTATGATGAAAAAGTGCAGCCAAACAGGCTGCTGGAGAAATATTTGAAGTTGAGATGACACACGTCAATTTTGTGCCCGAGTTATTAGATTTCGCGTTCACTTGTATGGTAATCAAATTGTGCAAGGGAAATAGAAAGGGAGCACTTGCTTTCATTTTAGGTTGTGAGTGTTTGTAGCCTTCAGGCTTTGATATTTACTTGCGGAGCAAAAACAAGCCTTTCTATTTTGCCTTTGAAATGAGTGAAGAAAAGATCCCACGTTTTAAGACCACACGTTAGATGCCCGGTATAATGTCACTGAAAGTAGAGGTTTTATTTTGTGTAAAATGTAAACTACTGTCATTGAAAGTATGTATTTTATTAATGTATGTTCAAGAATCGTCTTTATAGATCTGATACATGTGGTCTTACCTTAGGCAAGTGAGTTTGTTAAAAAATTGCCTGTGTTCACCCAGCAGAAAATGGGTACCCGGTGAAATAAGTCATGAGACTATTAACCTTCTAGAGCCTAACAGGCAGCTTGGGTTATCCGGGGTAATTAAAAATTATCAGGTTGTGTGCTTTGAGCAGGATATCTAGCCTGGAAAAGGCACGTTATAAATATTCTCATTATTATTATTACTATATAGCTCACTTGAATTTTGATGTTTTATGTACTTGAGATTTTTCTTTGTACCTCTTTTGAATGTGTGTGTGTGTGTGTGTGTGTGTGTGTGTGTGTGTGCGTGTGCGTGTGTGTGTGTGTGTGTGTGTGTGTGTGTGTGTGATGTGCTTTACATACTTCCATCCATCTTTTGTGTCGGTTATTGCATTTTTAACATCTCCTGGCAAACATCCTGCTTACGTCTTGGTTTACATTTGTAGAATGATTTTAGATATCTTAACTCCCCCCTTCCATTTGTTGAGTATGAATGTAACAAGATAAGGTGCTCAGGAATACCTTGCCATGATAATACCAGATGTTATATTCAAGTAACATTCTAATGACAAAATTGTCAATCTCAGGAGAAGAAGTGGTAGGCAAAATTCAAATGTTTTTCCGCTGTATATAAAACAGGGATGAGGCTATGAGTAGACTCTGCTTAGATATAGCCAGGGGCTTAGTTGTGGATAAGACACATGTTTAATTCATGTAATTTTTTTGTTCCAGTTTCGGAAGGAGAAATCAGGCAATGGTGAGTATAGCGTTTCCTATCTTGATCGTAATCAAACACTGTGCCTGGACAGCTGGTGGTTAGACGAGAAGCAGACCCATTTTCTGATATGAATTTTAGAAATAAATTGAAAAAATATGACTCCCAAAGTATAAAACCACTGGAAACCACTTCCTTTTATATTTTGGGGATTGATGGTTGAAGTAATTGTTATGATGCTGCATTTTGTTTGCTTGTTTTAAGATATTGTATAAGGCCAGACCAATTTTATTTCTTGTTTTATGGATCCACCAGTTGTACTTTTTCAAGAATAAGAAAAAAATAAAAGTTAATTTTCCCAGCTCAAAAAATATGTTCCTGGGTTTATTTGTTAAGTATCAAAATTATGTATATTCAGAGACTAAGTGTTAGTCTACTTACTGTGCTGATTTGGCGTAAATGAAGCCAGTGTTTGAATGGTATTTGGAAGCCATTCAAATATCAGGGAAAATATATGGATGTCAACTTCTTAGTGAATAAACACAAAGTTTTGCAGCATATTTTTTCATCAGGTAAGACAATACTCAGAGATGTGTTCCATGTAGTAAAGAAGTTGCCATACATAAACTTTCCCTGTTAACTGATGCAAGTATAAAGTCTTCAAGCAGCGTTAGAAGTGATTCACATAAAAGGTGGAATTTATGGATGTCATCTTATGTATTATGAGGAAAACAATGTTTCAGAGTACTTTTTCATCAGGTGATGTGGGAGATTCTTGAACCTGTTGGAAAATCTAGACTTGCCTCATTTAACAGGGAAAATTTATGGCAACTTCTTTGTTTTGAGGAACACATGACTTTGGCCTTATTTTATTCATGTAGTTGCTTGTTTCTCTCAAATTGTGTATTTTCTATCTCCAAGCCAATAACATGTCTTTTCCTGAACTTTTCATCAGAATTTTCAGGCTGCTTAAAGACAAGTCAGAGTTTAGGAGTTGAGCTGGTAATAGGAATTAATTTTAAATTTTAACCACAGATTGAGCTTTTTTTTAAAAAATTCTGATTTCTTGCTATGGTTGTGAATTGTTTTGTTTTCAAGCATGAAAGAGTGACACCAGCAAGCTTAACGAATCACACCAAGAATCCGTCTTTTACATCACCTCTGCTATTACCAGCAACACTTAAACCTTGTTTCACCTCTTAAAACATTTTGTTGGATAGGAAATATTTTCTTTACAAGATTTAATGACGAATATTTAAGGGATTAATTTAGATACAAATATGCATTTACTGTTTCGCTCACTAAATCCATCTTTTACATAAATTCTGCCCTGGAGCAATGCTGCAGCCGTAGCGTGAGACGCGGATTATTAAGGGACGCACCATTTGATATTGATGGGAAGGGATGAGACAGGATTTTGTTTGAGAGAGGATATTTTTTCAGTCACTGCTTAGAAACACGCAATTATATTCTATGAAAAGAGAGGCAGCTTGACTTAACATATAATTCACAAGACATAACGTCTGGATGTAGGCAGGACATCTCATGTTGTATAAACATTTTTTATTTTTTTATTCAGAAAAGCTAATTTTTTACATTTTTGTGGTAAGATATTCCAGGCAGCCCATAACCCTCACTAATTATAACATTTAGATATTGCAGGGAAATGGGTTATGATGGAGATTAGTCACATCTCATAGTGGGGAAGTTGTGGTAACTAAGTAGTAGGGCTATGTATTGACAAATAAATTGTATTGCAATATATTGCGATTCAGGTGCCCATATTGCGATATGTACATGTATTGTGATATATTGGGAACTTAAGTGTTCGACAGTGAGTGACACTTATTGTGTACATCACTCCTATTTTCTTCATCATAAGTCCCTACACATATATGTTATGGTTCTGAGCCCCATTCCTCAAAGCGATCGTGAGCTAATGCACCACCTGTCAATGAAGTCTATGTTAAAGTATATGGAGTTCGATTACCTTAGTGCTACGATTGCTTTGAGGAACATAACAGCAGTCTCAAAATTAGGTCGCATTCATGGATTCTATTTTCCTATTTAAAGAATTATTGTATTACAGTATGCCGTTTTGTCATTGAACAACGAAGGAAATCATTTGTTCAGAATGACAGTATGTGTAGATTTTAATTTAAACCATAAAGATAATGAATTTTTTTAATAGATGCTCTTACCCAATATACCGGTTCTCATAAAAATATATTGCAATACATATCGTTTGAAAAGCGTATTGCGATATACCGGTATACTGGTAGTACCGTGCAATCCTACTTAGTAGTAGAAAAATTTGGTAGTCAGGCTGATGTACAACGTCAGGCTACAATCTGAGAATGCCAGAATAACCAGTCACAAGTCTGCAGAGATAGATTCCGTGGGGCCTAAAAGGATAAACAGCACTGAAAACCTTTAACAGATTACCAAAAAACGAAAACCAAAATACCGAAAAACAGCATTGATACCATGTGTTTGAACAAGAGTGAACATGACTGTCCCCTATGGTAGTCCAGCACTCACAAATCATAATCTTGCAGACACTATTGCTAAACCAATAAGATGCTAATGGTTTATTCTTGACTCAGGACTGGTTCATAGTGTAGAGGGCGATGGGGTAGGCTAGTGGTTAAAGCGTTCGCTCGTCAAGCCGAAGACCCGGGTTCGATTCCGCACATGGGTACAATGTGTGAAGCCCATTTCTGGTGTCCCCCGCCGTGATATTGCTGGAATATTGCTAAAAGCAGCATAAAACTGAACTGACTGACTCACTCACTCATAGTGTGGATCACTGGCCTAATATTTATATATTAAACAGTTACCCCAATTCTGTTTTCAGTCATGGCAATCTTTTATCATCTCTTTTTCAGACCCTGAATTATAGACTTAAGGTTTCATTAATACTCAAAGGATATTTTTGATCAAACATGCAGAAGAATGCACTAAGAATGTTAACGTTCCACAATGTGGAATGTCTAGAATATTGCTGAAACTCTCATGATCACTGATTCCTGTGATACAACTGTCGTACTGCTCAAAGTAACATGAAAACCCAACTCACTCACTTATGCTGACTGTGAGTTTAGTTTTCGCAGCTTTTAGCAATATTCCAGCAATATCACGACAGGGGACACCAGAAATGGGCTTAACACATTGTGCCCATGTGGGGAATCGAACCGGGTCTTGGAGTGACGAGCCAGCGCTTTAACCACTAGGCTACCCACCGCCCCACTCACTTATGGGAAAGATAGGCAGCAAATGTTAGCAAATATGCATCATAATTATCGATGGAGTTTACCCAAATTAGTTTGTTTGTTGTTTAACGCCACACTCAGCAATATCCATGGCATATAGCAGGTTGTAAATAATCAAGTCTGGACCAGACAATGCAGTGATCAACTGCAGTAGCATCAGTCTACGCAATTGGAAACCGATGACGTGTGTCAACCAAGTCAGTGAGCCTGACCACCCGATCCGGTTAGTCACCTCTTGCGACAAGCATGGGTTACTGAAGATCAGTTCTAACCCTCCCTGATCCACCCCGGTTCAGTTGGAGGAGTGAGTGAGTGAGTTTAGTTTTACGCTGCTTTTAGCAAGATTCCAGCACTATCACGGCAGGGGACACCAGAAATGGGCTTTACATCAGTTGGCGGAGATGGTAGAAGTTGTTTAGTAACTGTTTACGGGTAACCAAAAGTAGTCCCTCATAGGGAACTTTATTTGCATTTTTATCGGATGCCAAGTTCATCAGATTGGTGTATTGCATCTGAATCTCTAACCATTACATGATACTAAAGACACAATGTCAGCCACAAAAACACAATTTTTCAAATAAATGCTTTGGTTAAGAAACAACATTATAAGTAGCATATTTGATCATTAATATATTTGTAACACTTGATTTCCCCTCTCTTGAATCAAAGAAGGTTTTAGGATCGGCCTAAGCAGGTTTATTCTGTACAAGAGATGGGCTTGAGGGCTGCTGTGCACATTGATTTTGCACTCACAAGCAAAAACAAGATTAAGCCAGGCAGTTCTCTCCTGCTGCCCTGCAAAACACCAGTGGACAAAGCATCCATGTTAACCTTTAGTTTGTCATTGCCTCTTTTTAAATATTCTGTAATCAGACTGTTAATAATTAAAGGGCGGTGGGGCAGCCTAGTGGTTAAAGCGTTGGCTCGTCACGCCGAAGACCGGGGTTCGAATCCCCACATGGGTACAATGTGTGAAGCCCATTTCTGGTGTCCCCCGCCGTGATGTTGCTGGAATATTGCTAAAAGCGGCGTAAAACCAAACTCAGTCAGTCAGTCAGTTAATAATCAAATGTTTGATTTTGTATCATAAAGATGGGCTGAACCTGGTTTTAATTCCGTCTTGATAATAATTTGAAGTCAAATTACAGTAAACTACAACTATAATGAACTCAAAAGGAGGACCAACTTTACTTGATTTTCTCAGTCAGTGTTCTATAAACATGTTCGTTATAAAGATATTTTACTGTGATCAACAATTACTATTTGTTACTATTTTATTCATACCGTGTTTACAACACCCGTGCCTAAATATCAGTATATCCCTTGCTCTCGCTCAGGAAACATTTAGGCACTCGTTTCGTAAACATAGTATGACATGGACATTCATATAATATCCTCTATGTATTACTTTGGTGATCTAAACATAATAGCATGGTTTTCTTACACCATGCTTTCAGTAAGGAATGAAGAGCGAGTGAGTGAGTTTAGTTTCATGCAATACTCCAGCAACATCACAGCTGGGGACACCAGAAATGGGCTTCACATATTGTACCTATGTGAGGAATCAAACTCATTATACAATTAGGGAATAGAACCTGGGTCTTCAGCATGAAGAGCGAACACTTTAACCACAAGGCTACCCCACGGCCCTCAGGCGTTATGGGGTGAGTGAGTGAGTTTTACAAACATTCCAGCAATATCACGGCAGGCGACACCAGAAATGGGCTTCACTTATTGTACATTTAGGGAATAGAACCTGGGTCTTTGGCA